TGGACACGCTTATTACAAACTTACGGATATTACAAGCTGCCTTTTGGTCCCGTCCATTTGCTGTATATATGCTGTATGTATATGCTTTTAGCGAACTACGGTTATAACGAACTAAAATTTGTGGTCCCTTTGAGTTTGAGTGAGTGAGTGAGTATAGTTTTACGCCGCTTTTAGCAATATTCCAGCAATATCACGGCGGGGGACACCAGAAATGGGCTTCACACATTGTACCCATGTCGGGAATCGAACCCGGGTCCTCGGCGTAAGGAGTGAACGCTTTAACCACTAGGCTACCCGACCGCTCCCCCTTTGAGTTTGTTATAACCGTAGTTTACTGTACAGGCTTTGCTTGTAATATCAGTATTCTTACTCTGCATGACAGTATTATCATTCAACTGATACTTTTACCTCTAAAATATTTTACAATGAACTTGTACCTCAGAAGATGTCAACAGCATTCTAGCTTTAAAGCTTGCATGACATGCCATATCTTTCATTATAAATGAGGACCGCCTCCGTTATCTTTTTGGTAGAGCGTCTGCGAGGTGAGCGGAAGGTGGGGTGTTCAATCCCTGGCTGCGACATACCAAAAGACGTTAAAAGATGTTACTTGTTGTTGCCTTGGCTGGCGCTCGGCATTAAGGGGATGAAGCAGGGTCAGCTCAGTCAGTGTACTGTCTGAGTGGTGTTAAACTGCGGCATGGTTTCTCAGTGAACTAGCACTGTAATATCGGCATCAGTCCAGACTAGTACAAGCAGCCGCACACACACGTGCATGTACGTCGCTATATAAATGCAATAATCTTGAACGTGACGTTAAACCCCATTTCGACTCACCTCACTCATGATAAATGATATTTTCATATCAACCAGTTACAACAGCAAGTTTCAAACTGCAACATCTAAATCTAGACTAGGATGTTGTACTGATATACTCGGACATATTCGCCCCAACTCGCTCACTCTCCACAATAGGAACAACATGGATATATTGTTAATATTATCATGGACTGTTATGGGTGAACAAAACCGTCCAAATGGCTTGCTGGATTTCTTGGGGGAATTAGTCAGCAAAGAGATTAAGTAAGATGAATTCAACAGACTTTTGTCTCAGTGTCAGGAACCCTTTAATTTTATTGCAAAACTTTGCATATTTATCAAACATATGCTGAACTGGTGCCTTTTCATGTTTTGTTTTTTCTAAAAAACATTGTTTGTGTGTTTGCTTGTTTTCTTTAGACATAATGCCCGCAATGTCTCCTAAACTACTGAAGTTACATAAATAAAATAACTTTGCAAGCTTGTTCGAAAATTGGTGCAATGAGCTATTTCCTTAAGAGTTATGTCCCTTGCTACATGTATCTTTGCAGATTTAAGGCACTTGCTGCACGCGTTTTAACATTAATTTCCATATTATTCACTACTTAATGAACAAAACAAAATTGTAATATGCTCCATACTGGGGGACAGGGATAATGCTGTTTTTCTTGTTGCATGTTGTCATAGTTCTAGTTCTAACTCCCTTGGGCACGCCAGAAACCTATGATTGTGGGTACAAATCCCTGTTCTCCCTAATTATGTTTCTAGGTTTGTCAGCACCATACCCATGCTCGTGGATTTCACCGAAGTCCCAGTAAACGTCTGAGACCTGTATCACTTAGGGCTTTCCTCCCACATTAAGCTGACACGCTGCGATATGACTGGAATACTGTTAAAAGCGTCGTTAAACCCAACTCACTCACTCACTCACTCACTCACTCACTCACTCACTCACTCACTCTAGTTCTAACATCCACCTGTTAAGCCTAGTGATTGTCACCTGCTGTTATTGGTGGAGTAATGCTAAACAGCCACAACACAGAACTCGCTCACCCACATGTAACCCAGTGAAGATCTGGGTCAGAATTGGTCTTCAGCAACCAATGTCTATCATAAGAGGCAACTATGATCGGATCGGATGGTCAGTCTCTCTGATTGATTGATGCATGTCATCGTATCCCAATTGTGTAGATCAATAGTAAGGATGTAAATAATTGGATTGTCTGGTCCAGACCTGATTATTTACAGATCACCGCCAATAGCTGGAATATTGCTGAGTAGGGCGTTAAACAACAGAGAAAAAAACTCTTTGAGTTTGCCCTAAATCACTACTACTGCCACCACTACATGTACTACATCTTCTATATGAGTGAGCGAGTGAGTTTGGTTTTACGCTGCTTTTAGCAATATTCCAGCAATAACATAGCGGCTTCACTCATTGTACCCATGTGGGGAATCAAACCCGGGCCTTCGTGCGACAAACCAAGGCTTGAACCACTTGGTTACCCCACTGCCCTCTTATATATGATCTCGGTGACCCAGGGCAAAATAGGTAACCCAGTACCCTATTCTAGTTGTTGAGTAAAATACAAACCAGTCACCATGTGTGAATGTGCCCGCATTGATCATTCTAACATCCTATCGACCATTGTGTGGTTGTCAGTCAAATATTAGCTGTAATATTGCTCACTGCGGCATTCTGCAGCATTCACTCCCTCACATGTCTACATGCAATGGTAACTCGGCCTTCTTCAGACGTCCCAGATACCTGTTCGAATTCTGGTACACCCCGATTATCTTTCTAGATTTATCAGCACCATACCCTTTGCTCACCAAAGTGGGAAAGTTTGAGACCTGCATCACTGCTGGCTTTCCTCCAGCATCAAGCTGTTCTCTGTCCACTAAGAAAAATGCCTTGACATATTTTATCATGAATTAATTTAAATACTGTTTGGCACTGAAGCAAACCCACTTTCTCCACATAGAGTTTACAGAGCTTCAGAAGTTCTCTGGTCACTAACAAAATAGAATCTTTCTCAATTTAGACATTTTCAAAAAATTAACCTGTTGATGACATATACTGCTGGGAACAATGAATCTGTGGATTTCCGCAAGATTTGAAAATGTAACCAATAGTAAACTCTAAGCACGAGTGTAATACGGTAATTCTTTAAAGAGCTTCTTTATTTAAAATGTGCTGAAATATGCCCCTAATTATCAAACAGTCATTTTTAATTTATCTTTAAGTTATGACATTTTTAAGAATTACAGACAAGATTAATATGTTTCTGAAGTTGTTGTTGGAATATTCTTGAAGTAGATAAGTGTATGTGTTTGTCAAGGAATAGATGTTTCCTTCCTGGTTCTCCCTGTGTTAACGGATATCTGCTTACCACTTCAGGTGCTATAACGAGGGACCAGGACGCGGTCATCTGAAAAATCAGCGATAGGTCACCAGCCTCAGTTGCCATCCATCCTCAGTTGCCACAAGCCACAAGCCTCAGCCTCAGCCTCCAGCTTCCATTGGTCTCACCACCAACAGTCATGCAGTGAAACTGAAATTCCTCCTTCACCATCAGCGACCATGTCAACTTGGTGTAAGTAAAACTGAAGATACAAACAAATCATTTATATTATAAGAATTATTTGTTTAGGGCAAACATGTTCCCAGTCATATTGAAACAAGATTTAATTTCTGCTCTATATCTCACTTTAACAGCTGTTACATTGGTGCATGCATTCCCGATACTCGTCCGTCGACTATCAACAACTTCAAAAACAGCCTTACACATGTGAATTGATCGTTGTGTTTGTTCATAAGTCATTGAAATTTACAAAATACTGTTTCTTCTACAGGTGTGGCTACCTTCTCCAACACCTCTGCCAATAATAACACTGCTTCATGTTCAGGAATTGACACCCTGTTATACTCCATATCCATATATCCTATCACTAACATATACAAAGTGGTTCTGAAATCAACTCATATCCAGCATGACTGGATTGTTAAAGACAGTTAACTCCCTTGCCTCAGGAAGATGAATACATTGTCCTATCACTAACATATACATAGTGGTTCTGAAATCAACTCATATCCAGCATGATGCAAAGATTACAACTTTACGTGCTGGTGTTATCAGGATCTCGTTTTGTGTGTAACGATCATCCACTTCCAAGTCCCTGATGGTGTCCATGTGTACCTCCTGATGACGCGGCAGCTTTGAGGTGTTGAGGGGTGTTTCATGTTTCATGGCTCATACTGGCTGAAACACCCGCTAACATCTTCTAGTTGAACGACGACTCGGTTGTATTGTGAAGCATCTTTTCAGGTAGTTTTCGGAGAGCGTCTTTTGTCGGGGAATTGTTTGAATGACTTTGAAACAGGAAATCCTTTCTCGTTGAGCATTTCAGATCTCACTGGTATGTCTGAAGAAGTATCATATTACATTTGGTTGAATGGCCACCTCAACAAAATATTTCAGTTAGTATTTTTGATACTCGGAGTTAAAGGTAGATATTCCTAATCATGTGCGGTGCTGTGGTAGGATGTTGGCAGTATCAGTCTACCTCTAGGATGGATGTTGAACAGAGCTAAGTGACAAGGTAAGTTTCAAACTGCACTTCAAGTATGAGGTTCACTTATGGCAGACTGTTCCAAACAACTTTCTCCAGACATTCAGGACTCCCAGCCTTTCGTTTCCTTTATGGAACACCCCTGTGATAAATTCAATTAAAAAATATTTGTTCCTGGTGTGTATGAAATGACATCTGATCACATCTGGACGTGTACAGGTTGTTTCACCTCGGCTGTAGACTGCACCCGTCTGTCACACCCGTCTGCCACACCCGTCTGTCACACGCATCTACCAGAGCCGTCGACAACACCCTTCTACCAGAGCCGTCTACAACACCCGTCTACCACACCTGTCTCAGCTCTAGTCTATGGTGAGTATGAACGCTCGGTTGCTGCAGTTAGCTGTATCCGCCGTAGACGTTTGTGTTCTAGGGGATACGTCTTCTTGACTCCTTCTATATACGACACAAGTCGGTCTGAGGGTCCACAACAATTGTATTGAGACACAGTTACAACATAAAGTTCTGACTCTTAGCCTCGACTGCCCCGCTTGGAACACCCCTGTGATAAATTCAATTAAAAAATATTTGTTCCTGGTGTGTATGAAATGACATCTGATCACATCTGGACGTGTACAGGTTGTTTCACCTCGGCTGTAGACTGCACCCGTCTGTCACACCCGTCTGCCACACCCGTCTGTCACACGCATCTACCAGAGCCGTCGACAACACCCTTCTACCAGAGCCGTCTACAACACCCGTCTACCACACCTGTCTCAGCTCTAGTCTATGGTGAGTATGAACGCTCGGTTGCTGCAGTTAGCTGTATCCGCCGTAGACGTTTGTGTTCTAGGGGATACGTCTTCTTGACTCCTTCTATATACGACACAAGTCGGTCTGAGGGTCCACAACAATTGTATTGAGACACAGTTACAACATAAAGTTCTGACTCTTAGCCTCGACTGCCCCGCTTGGCTGGTTCACAATCATATATATATTTTCTCAACATATCTTACATTCCCGACCATGGTCCCAATAAGGTTATACCTCCAGACCAGTAGCACCTCGTCTGCAATCCCCCATGTTATCAATGCAGTGACCATCAGCATATCTCCTTTTTGGACTTGTAATCCAAGAATATCCCTGATATCTCCCTGAGTTCTAAGAATATACCTGACTTCTCTCACCCCTTATTTAGATGTCCCTCTGTGACTAACATGCATGTTCTAGCCAGGTCAACGGTAGTTCAAAGGTGTATCCCCCCCTACGGGGGAGGGTGTGAGACACGCCACTGATTAAATTTTTTGAAAGTGTATAAATGATTGAATATACGCAACTCAATGAACCGCCAAAGCTAGTTGTATTGAAAACAACCTATGAAATATGTTATACATGTAAAAGCTGGACAAAGTCGTTCTCTGGGTCCATGTATTTTATTAATACTGAAGATGGTAGACCTAAACAATAATATACAAACTTTTAATATGCTTGGTAACATCATGTTTGGCCTTTCATAGATGATAATGCTGTATCGTATCTGCATATTACACATGTATATACTAATCATATATGGCTGAAAGTATCAGTTATCATACATTTATATTTCATCATCGTAATACACACAGTGTAGTTCTTTTCAATGAACACAATGCATAAAAGTACAGTATAAACATTTGCATGGTAGAAAGTATCTTTTACATACAATGTCAAATGTACCAATAGCACTCACAGTAACTTCCAGTAAAATAACAGATCCAGTGGGTCTGAACACCTTTATAACAGTTTATATACTAAATAATCTAACTAATTACAAAGTAAAAAAACTAACATAAAGAAAGTATAGACAAACAAATGACAATGTACCCGTTGAGGTTTATAGACTTACCCCCAACTACCTCTGTTACATCTGTAAACGACCGGAATGGGCTTCCAGGCCTAGTAGGACGTAATTACAATACAATATGCAAAACTGACAATTCCATTCAAATACAGTCTTAGTAATTAACAACTTATCAATGCCTAATTCTATAAACCACTCTGAGATTCGGGCCTTATTTAAGTCCCTCGCTTGCACGTGGCATTGAAACGTAAACAAAATGGAACAAAAGAAAAACAATGGAGTAGAAGTGTATAATTACAGTACAAGGGAAATTCGTGTCTCATGCAGTACAGCATGACCAACGGGAGATAACTGCTTATGGGATAGATAACTATAACAGTAGTCACTACAACTAAAACCCGTAGTTAATTTGTTAATCTCATAACACAATTTAAATATTATGCACTTCTTTGTGCTCACACAACCATTGAGAAAAGAAATGTTGACTAGGTTACAATTCTACTACTACTACGCTGATGAAAATACGTGTAAGCAATGAAACAGCCTCTCCACGGCGTTCCTATACTGACTATAGTACAGTGGCTGCTACAAGATGGTAATTCGATACTTAACACAGTTTCTACAAAATTAAACTTTGCCACTAAAACCATCACAGACAAATGTACTTCTATAGCATCAAACAACAAGATATCTGCTAAAGGGGTGTACTTACTCATTGATAAGAAAGCTAATTAGAGATGGTCCAAAACAATGTGCTCTGTGTTGAAACAACGTGCTCGGCTGGCTGGCTAAAACAATGGAATTGGCCTGAGCGCGAGATGGAGTGATAAGCAGAGCATTTTGGGATATCCAACAGTAATTAACTAAGGCCAGATACGTATTTGTGAACTTGTAGGAAATAAACAAATCTTATCCCGCGATATGCCAAGGAGAGGCATGGGTCACCGAGCCGTGGATGCCCGTGCCTATAATAGAAACAGAAGATGAGATTGGGTTAAATGGCCGAGGGTGTGCAGGTACTATTGGGCTACTTGGCTGCTAATTGTGTATACCAAAATGCGACTGTTGCCATGGCCACGCGCGTGGCCAACGGCGATTGCAGCTAGCGCTGCTGGCCTGAGACTGCTACCGCTGTCCGGCCCCCACAGTAGCATATTTAAACGCTACCATTGCTTGGCAACTCCCACGCTGCCAAAAGCAGCTCCACGCTGCTGGCCTAAGTCAGACTACCGCTGCTCGGCCCCAGGTAGCCGGCCAAAGCAGATCCCACTGCCCGGCCCCATTAGCAAAACCAGTGTGCGGCTCCCGCCGCGGACCCAACTGTCAGCTACCGCTTGACAAGACGACTTCCGCCGCCGGGCCCATATACGTGGCAATTGTTTGCCCCAACGTATGTTATTTTACAATTCCCCGGCTGAAAAATCGGGAAAGACAAGGTTCCCACTGAGAAGCAGGTAACCCCGGAAAGGTTCCCGCTGAAAAGCAGGAAGCCTTAAGCACGAGTATTAATTTGGAAGCAAGTTAATTTGTTACTAACAGTGTAGCCCACAAGAACCCCGCCACAAAGCACCAGAGTGCTACCCCACACCCACGGCCACGCGATACACGGAGATAGCATTGTTGCTCGGCTTGCCTATGTACTGAAAGGAAACACTAACCTGTGGAGATAATATCCTTACTGGCGCAAAACAAGCGCCAGGGCATGCAATAAATTGTCAGTAAACACACACAGTCCTTTGTCACTGAGGTGGACGCCCTCCCAGGCATACCATGTCTTGTCTGATGCCAGGATCTGGGGATGTGGCACCATTGTACCGCCGAGCTCTTTGACTCGGTTGGCCAGTCGGCGGTTGATATTCTACAGCATCCCCTTGATCTTTAGTGGGTCCCTGGCATCGTGCCAGTAGCGCCTGGGCAGCATTGAGGATATGATGATCTTGGTGTCAGGAAGCCAGAGTTGTATCCGAAGGATTGATGCCACCATGTCAAGGTAGAGTTGGCTGCCCTTGACCGAGCACAGGTCGTTGGAGCCCAGGTGAATGATGAGGGCTCTGGGGCTGCGCCGTGTCGCCTTGACCTGTGTATCCAGAATGGTGTCCAGCTCCTTCCACCTCATCCCCCCTCCTGCCAGCCATAGCATCCTCGGTTGGTTCAGACTGGTGCCCTTCAGGAGCAAGTACTGCTGTGCCCTGGCCATGTAGCTAGATCCCACCATCCAAACTGTAAACAATAAGAAGTGTAGTAAGTACCATGAAAGACTATTTGAATTAATTGTGAAACATTGAATTTGTTGGTAAGCGTATGTAAGCATTGTAGCAATCTGATTTCCACCTGCCGTATTGTTGTATGAGGTGTTCGGGCACCCCGTTCATGGCTGCTGATGTGGCTGCCCCAATGCGGAAGGAGTGCGAAGAATAGCAAGCCGTGTTTATGTTGCTGTGTGCTAAGGCCTTTTTTAGGAGTGCCTGGGATTGGTACCTTGTAACGGGGGAATGGTCGAAGTGAACGAATGCATGTTGTTGGCCGGAGGGGCGCGCCTCCAGGTAGTGCTTGATGGCGACTACCGGACATAGCGGATTACCTGGTATAGATGACATTGCAACTGTTGTCCCCATCCTGTACTGATCAGACTTTGAGTGTGGTAAATGGATTGAAAGCTGCTGGGGGTTGCCAGAGAAGCTTAAATTCTGGATGGCGCAACCTGTTTTTGAGGGATAGGTGTGGGGTTCTGGTCCGCGGCTGGTGCTGCCTCTCGGAAGCGTTAGAGCTGAAACCTCGAGAGAGCATCGGTAATAGTGTTAGCAGTGGAACATACATACTTTGCCTTAAACATAATATTATATCGGAGGCACTGCAGGATTAGGCGACGGAGTAGGCGCATCACTCTGGGGGCCTTGGTTGACTGCTTGTTGATTGTTGTTACGACGGCTTGGTTGTCGCAGTAAAAGAGGACCTTTTTGTTTGCGAGTTGCTTGCCCCAGATTTGGATGGCCAGTGTGATAGGGAACAGCTCCAGGAGCGTCAAGTCCCGTGTAGTTCCATCCGTCACCCACTGGGGTGGCCATGCGCCGTTAAACCATTTCCCCTGCATGTAGGCCCCAAAGCCGGCGCCACCCGCTGCGTCTGAAAACAGCTGGAGGAAATCGCTGTCCATCCATAGTTGGTCCTGAAACACTGAAATGCCGTTATAACTCGTAAGAAATGTTAACCACATTTGTAGGTCTTCCTTGACCTAGCTGGTAATCCTAATGTGGTGAAATGGTTGCTTACCTTTGCTAAGCAGATCGATTAGCCTGGGGCTGAATGCCCTTGCCATTGGTATAGCCCTGCACATAAAGTTAAGCTTGCCTATGAGGGACTGAAGGGCCCTTTTTGTGACCTTGATGTTACCTGTTGACAGGATGTCTTGGATTTCCCCTTGTTGCCACTTACCGCATTTGTGAGTGTACTTACAGTTGACCCTGCTACAGCCAAATTTATTGAAATCCCAGCATACCTGACTGGCGATGTCCCCCTGTACGCGTGTCATTGCCCCCCGTCCGCCTGATTCTGGTTGTAGTACCGGCTGTGTTATCATGTACTTCAGCCACAACTCCCCGTCGATGTTGTCCCAGCGTCGTGAGGGGTCCCTTGACATTCTGTGTAGGAATTGTTGGTCGTAGGTTGACCAGGCATCCCCCCCGAATCGAAGTGCCGCCGTTCTTATGGTTTCCATGTAGGACAGCAACCCCTGGGTTGTGCGGACCTCGGAGTGCCTACTAACATATATACACATGAAAATGTGGAAGGCTGAAGTCCAGCTTGCCAGGGACAGGCGCTTTGGTTGCTGTTTTATTGGTTTAAAAATTACCTTACCTGAGGAGTCGTACGCCATGGTAATCGTACCGTCTTCGTGACTTCCCTCGGTGTTTGGTAGGATTGTGCCGAGGTCAACATACTCGCCACGCCAGAT